AAGGAAGGAAGGAGAACAGGGAAGGGGAAGGAAGAAAGGAGAAAAAAGAAGGGACGGAGGAGAGAAAGGAAGGGAGGAAGCAGGAGGAAGAAAGGAAGGAAGGAAAGGGAGGAAGGAAGGAAAGAAGGAAGGAAGGAAGGAAGGAAGGAAGGAAGGAAGGAAGGAAGGAAGGAAGGAAAGGAGGAAGGAAGGGAAGGAAGGAAGGAAAGAGAAGAAGAAAGGGAGGAAGGAAGGAAAGAAGAAAGGAAGGAAGGAAAGGAGGAAGGAAGGAAAGAAGGAAGGAAAGGAGGAAGGAAGGAAAGGAAGGAAGGAAAGAGAAGAAGAAAGGGAGGAAGGAAGGAAAGAGAAGAAGAAAGGAAGGAAGGAAGCAAAGGGAGGAAGCAAAGGGAGGAAGGAAGGAAAGGAGGAAGGAAGGGAAGGAAAGGAAAGGAGAGAATACCCTACTCCTAAGAGGTGTGTAAGGGGTGTGTGCATAAGCGCACCGTCGTTCCTACCTGTCCTATTGTCCCCATGGATTCCTACCCGTTTCCTGCATTCTTACTCACGTTTCTACTCTTACCTATTCTCTCGTGAGCGATGGACAAACCAAAATCAAAATCAATAAAAAAAATCAATAAGCCGATAAACCAACCGCCGGGACTCCGCCGACCTCCGACCTGTGTGTGTGAGCCATCCCAGAACCAAAAGAACCCACTTCCTGGTTCCGGAAACCGAAACGGATCCGTAACGGCAACAGGAATCCCAAAACAAACCCCGCCAAAAAAGGCACCGGGAAGAGGAGAGAAGGACTCACCTTGTACTGACTGAGCGGGTACTTCTCCAGCAAGTACTCGTCGCAGCCACACACCTTGAGCAGGTACTTGCCCTGGTACTCCTGCACGCAGAGGCGGAGCTGCTCGGGCGAGAGGTGCATGCTCCGGGTTTTTTTCCGGATGGCCTCGGCGATCACTTGCTCCGGCAAAGCGTCGTGGGGCGTCTTGAGGGTGTATTTCTGTTTGTCGTTGTTTGGGGACACAATAACCCAGATGGTCACTATGACCCGACCTTGAGGAAACGGGGTGGGGGGTGGGGGCGGAAAAGCAGGACAAGCACAACGGGCACCCGGGTGTGCCCGGGCGGGGGGGGGGGGGGGGCCGAGCAGCGGAGTAGGAGTGGGGCCCTAGAAGGGCACTCAGACGAAGACCCAGGCCCGCCCCCCCTCTTCATCCTAGGGAGGAACGGAGAAGGGAGCAACAAGAGCGGCTGGCTTACGGGGGAGGAAACGGCCCTGATACCCTTTCGGGAGTTGCAGCTGGGAGAACACGATATCAGGGCGACG